ACTACGTAGTGACCATTTCACTCCCGACTCTCTTGACATCAGTTGGGGAATTTGGTATTTAAAACGACGTGTAGTTCCAACAATTTTTCCTTTGCCTAAAGACAATCCAGAAAAAGACCCTTCTAAAAAAAAAAAAAAAAAAAAAAAAAAAAAAAAAAAAAAAAAAAAAAAAAAAAAAAAAAAAAAAAAATTCCAGAAGAAAAAATTGTATGATGAGAAAAAAGTACGCCTAAAAGCCAAATTAGAAAAATCACTTGTATTAAATCAGGCAAAGAAAACACAGATGTGCTCCCTGAACACGCAATTGCTTGATTCATCTGCCTTGGTGAAGCCACCAGCTTCCAACACCAAGAAGTATACAAAACACATGTTAACTCTTTTCTTTTCCTCTTTTCTTTCTTTCTTTCTTTTTGAGACACAGTCTTGCTCACTTGCCCAGGCTGAAGGGCAGTGGCGAAATCTCGGCTCACTGCAACCTCTGCCTCCTGGGTTCAAGTCAAAATATATGTTAGCTCTTAAACTAGTTAAACAAGATTAACTAGGAAACTCTTAAACTACTAGTTAAACAAGATTAACTAGGAAACCAGAATATATCTTTGAAACATCAGTTAACTAAAATATGGATATAGGTGGTTTTCACAAATCTTTTGAGTATCTAAATTCTACAACTATTACTTGGATAACTTCAAATTCAGAAGGTATTCTACAGTCTTTAGAAACTGAAGAAGTGCTTGAAATAACTACTAATCATCTTGCTAATCCAAACTTTACAAATAATTCCATGAAAATCAAGTCAGCACAGAATAATTCATTCTTAGTTACCACAATTAATCAAACAGTTGAAGAATTAAACACAAATAAAGAATCTATTATTGTCATTTTTCTAAACCTGTAGTTAATTCTTTTATATCTACCCAAAAAGAACCCACGGAAATGGAAGACATAGACATTGAAGACTCCTTATATAAAAACATAAATCTATGAAACATTTTCTTTAAAAAAAAAAAAAAAGAGAGAGAGACAGACAGACAGGGTCTTGCTCTGCCACACAGGATGGAGTGCAGTGGCACGATCATAGCTCACATTAGCAATCTTGAATTCCTGGGCTCAAGTGGTCCTCCTGACTCAGCCTCCTGAGTAGCCAGGACTACAGGCACACCACCATGTCCAGCTACTTTGTAACTTGTTGTAGAGACTGGATCTTGCTATGTTGCCCAGGCTGGTCTTGAATTCCTGGTCTCAAGTGATCCTCCTGTTTCAGCCTCCCAAAGTGCTGGGATTACAGACATTAACCACTGCACACTTGGCCACAAATTGAACATTCTTACTGCAGACAAGACATAAAGAAAGAACATTTTTGGCAGAAAGTTTCTAAGCTACATTCAAAGATAACTCTTCTTGAGCCACAAACAACAAACTATAGGTAGACTGAAGTCTTTGGAAGCTCCTATAAGACAGCTAAAGCAGGAAAACTATCTGAAGAAAATGTCAGATGATAAAAACTGTTTTACAACATAGGATGTCATTATGTTATAGAGTAAAAAGGCTTTAAAGCTATGACTTTTATAGCAGCTTTTTCTAGCCAAATCAAACTAGATGTAAAGGGAACTTTTTCCTGTATAAAGTTCTGATCTTAAGGAACCTATGACAGTGCTCTAATGTTAGGGACTGTATCCTGTTCTTATAACACTCATTTTTAAAGACCAGGGAGTTGTGCTGAAGAGAAAAACAGTTTTATTAGTTGATAATTTTCCAAATTAGAGTTAAAATTTAGTGAATAAATGACACGATTCGGTCATAAGATGAGAGAACAAGGGCATGTTCAAAAGAGCCTGAAACAGAAGTCAGGCTCAGCAATCAGTCCTGGATTCACCATCGGCACAAGGCTTAAGCAAGTTACTTATCAGGACTGAATCTCAGTCCCTAACCTACAAAAGAAGAATATTTACTAGCTCTCTAACCGTCTGTTTCTTTATAGTTCCTTCCCTTTTTCTTAAGATAACTTTGTTAGAACAGGTTTTCTCTAAGATTAGACATACTTTCATAATACTAGAAGTTGGCTAGAATTTGATATTAACTATTGCAATATTAACTGAATTCGGTGTTATCTGACCTTTTGGATATAGTTATATATCTGTAACATAAAGGAAAATACACCTTTTATAATTTTATTCCAGTTGAACCAAACTAAGGAACTGCCCATTAGCCCAGTTCTCAGGTGCGGTACTTCAAACTTGAAAGAATATGTGTATCAGCACTTACATGTCACTAACCATCATAATACACAGTCATTTACGCTTTTTAACATACTGTATAAGATTATTTTGTAAACCAAAAATTTTAATGAGGTTAATTTTAAATATATTTAAGTGTATTTTAGAAACCATAGTTGATACTTTTTTTTTTTAGTGAAAGTATGGTAATTTACTGGAAAAGGGAAAGCACACACCCAAGAAAAGGAAGTGTGAGCATATTCAGAAAGAGACACGCCATTAGTATCTATTTTTTAATAGGTGTAACCTCTACAGTACGTGCCTGCCTCATTTTTAAATTGCAGAATAACAGAATACTGAATACTGCACATTCCCACTTACGTATATTAAAATTAATAAGCAAGAAATTATAGACAAGTGGTCATAACCTTAGGGAGATAAAGGTCTTTCATTAGGAAAGGGAAATGACGGTGATATAAATAAAAATACTGTTTATATCCACACAAATTTGAAAAACGTAAAAGTAAAGACTCTGTAGTAACAATACAAATGTGAAAAATAGATTGTTTCCTTAGAATTGGCAGTCAACGTAATCAAGTATGTTAATGTCTATGAGGGATGCTGTGCAAGTTCCTATTAGCCTGATTCTTAATCTTCTCACCTATTAAAAAGAAAATACTGGCCAGGTGCGGTGGCTCACGCCTGTAATCCCAGCACTTTGGGAGGCCAAGGAGGAAGGATCACTTGAGGCCAGGAGTTCAAGACCAGTCTGGGCAATATAGCAAGACCATCTTTACAGAAATTAAAAATTAGCTGGGCACAGTAGTGTGCCTGTAGTCCTGGCTACTGAGGAGGCTTAGGCAGGAGGATCACTCAAGCTTGGGAGATAAAGGCTGCTGTGAGCCATGATTTCACCACTGCAATCCAGCCTGGGTGACAGAGCAAGACCCTGTCTCAAAAATCAAGAAGAAAGTACTATTATCTATCTATCTATCTATCTATCTATCTATCTATCTATCTATCTATCTATCTTACCTGTCTTAAAATACTATTATCTATCTCACGGCACAGTTTTGAGAATTCTGTAAGGTAACAAACAAATTTCTGGGTCCTGGAAAATAGGAGGTGCTCAATAAATATCAGTCAACACTAAACAGTAAATAATGTACTAATTGTTTTATAAATGCCTGATTCTTTTTGCTCACATTGTACTTAGTTTCTGTAGGCTATTAAAATTAATTGGTATTGTAAAATAAAATTCTGAAATGAATTTTCTAATTCAGAGACTAGCAAACTATTACCCGCAGGCCAAATCTGGGTGTTTGGTAAATGAAATTTGTTTACATACTTTCTATGGCTCTTCTCACATTATAAAATCAGAGATTAGAAGTTGTAATTAAGACAGCATAGCCCAAAAAAAAACTAAAATATTTACTATCTGGCCTTCTAGAGAAAGTTCTTCAACCTCTGCTCTAATTCTACTGGCCTCAAAATACAACAGGAAAGAGCCTGTAAGATAAACCACTTATCTTCATAATTTACAAGGCCTTCATTTTTTTTAAAATCCTAATAATTAAGTCTCACATTTACAGAATCAGCGTCTTTGGTCACTTGAACAAACAAAAAAAGTCTTTTCAGGTTTATCATTGGGAAAAGTGTTCTTCCCCATAAGCTCCTAAATCTACTCTGCTGCTGAACTAATTTTATAGACTTCTCAAAAACAAAAACAAACAAACAAACAAAAAACCCAGGAACTTTAAGGTGAATCAACAAACACATTACCCTTAGTCCCAAAGTAATTTTCTGAAAAGTATACCTCTATATTAAAAAGTGTATCCTTCTATTAATAAATAAAATTAAATGAGACAATTTAATTTCTGCCCATGTTTGTAGAAGTGTATAATCCTTCTTTATATAAAATACAGTTTATTGTTAGCTTAAAGTGTATCCTTCTATTAATAAATAAAATTAAATAATTTAATTTCTGCCCATGTTTGTAAAAGTATATAATCCTTCTTTATATAAAATACAGTTTTTTATTGTTAGCTTAAATAGGCTTGTAACACTAAGCTAAATTTATCTGAATAAGTGATAAACATTCAAAAAAGCAAAATCAAATATCCAATTTATGTTTTTAAATAAAAATGGGGTTACTCACTGAGGTAAAGGGTGAGGATCCTTTATGTCTCAGCCCTTGACACCCCTTCAGGTGGTAGATTAGCTTTCTATAGTCTGAATATGGTGGGGAAAAAAATCTGTACATTAGAAGGGTAACAAGAGCTCGTCCACTTTCCTTTCTCAGATGTTAGTGCTTTCTCCCTTGATGAAATAAGTTGACGAAATAAGTTGTTCTAAAGTAGGAATGAGAACAAGGACTTTGAGATGTGATGCGTCAAAAAAAAAAAAAAAAAAAAAAAAAAAACCAGAAAAAGAAAAAGGTAAGCTATTCATAGGCTATTCGTAGGCTCTAAAAGAAGTTCTGGTGCTAAAACATAACCCTACACATCATACCTCTGAGGGTGGTTCCCTCAATTGCTGCTATACTCCCTTCATCAAAAGTTAATCCATCATTCCAAATTTAAAGGGAAAAATTCGAGTATTTGTCTGTCATCTTTTCAAATCAGATATCATACGTCCTGCTCAGAAAATTTCTAAATAGAAAAATAACAAGCTTCCCAACTGTCCTTCAAAAGGACCAGACTCATCTAACGCTTTACCCATAAGCCAATCATAACCACGTGTAAACTGTCTAGCTGGAAAAACCTCCCATACCCCACAGATACAAACCTCCCGTCGAATGACACTTGCAGTTCTCTCCATGTGATCAGTTTTCCTTTTGGATTTCATTATGCTGTAACAGAAAGTAAAATTAGGTTATTATGTATTATCCCCATAAAAATCATAAAATTAGTTTGTCCTGAAATATCATGGTTATCCTAAATACAATATAACATTATGGATCCTATAATATGGTCAGCGAGTATTTGCCCATCTAACTAAAGTTTTGGCCAGGCATGGTGACTCACGCCTGTAATCCCGGCACTTTGGGAGGCTGAGGCAGGCAGATCACCTGAGGTCAGGAGTACGAGATCAGCCTGGCCAACATGGCAAAATCTCCTCTCTACTACAAATACAAAAATTAGCCAGGTGTGGTGGCACATGCCTGTAATCCCAGCTACTCGGGAAGCTGAGACAGGAGAATCACTTGAACCCAGGTGGTGGAGGCTGCAGTGAGCTGAGATCGTGCCACTGCACTCCAGCCTGAGCCACAGAGCAAGACTCCCTCTCAAAAAAAAAAAAAGAAAAAAAGAAGTTTAACAACCTGACAGCATGCACATGGAAGCCAAGGTGTTACCTTGTCAGGTGTTTGATATGCCTCTTGGGACCATCAGCAGGTCAGGTGTCTTTGAAAATCAACTTCAAATGCACGGAAGGCTTAATGACTCACCTGGTTACAGTAAGGTGGCGCAAAGTGCTGAATGTCAATCTCAATGAAGCACCCTGAGTACAGACGGCTCCAACAGAGCACTGCAACCCAGGAATCATAACAGCAGCACAGGCCATGGTGCTTCCTGGGCAAACATAAAACTGAAATTTAAAACTGTTTTTTAAAACAGTGGGGAAATATCAGACTATTTTAGAGGGTCAGTGAAGAAGAGTTTGGGTTTCTGTTGGTGCTATTATGAGTCAAGCTACCAGCAAAGCAACCAAGAGCCTAACTTAACATCGATACAGTTTCTGCCACTATTCAGAGTTGATTCAAGGTATCTCCACAATTATGTACATAAGTATGTAATTTTTGGTGTTACCAAATATTTATGTTCTCTGTTGGTTTCTAAAATCTTTGATCAAATTCACATAACTAATCTTATCACAGAAGAGGGATGTAGATTTTATAACTTTCAGATAATTGTATTCTACCTAAAGAACACTACACAAGTCTTTTATATTTCTTGTTAGGTAAAGTGTAAGAGGAAGATAAATTTACCAAGGTTTCCAAACAAGAAGCTTAAGGTTCCCAGAAAATAAAAACCAAAACAGATAATACTATTCATAATGGCCCAGACTGGAAACTGTCCAAATGCCATTACTAGAGGAGATAAACTAATTGTGATACATTCACACAGTAAGATATACTATTCAGCAATGAAAACAAACTGCAACTTCATGCAGTAACATAGATGAGTATCACAAATAACATACTGAATGAAGGAAGCCAGAGTCAAAACAACAGATATTCTTTGATTCTAATCATATAAAGTATAAAAACAAACAAAATGAATCTATGCTGTCAGAAATCTAGTTAGCAGTTTCCCTTGGGAGGTGGTAGTGACAATGTTATTTCTTAAACTGGGTGCGGATTGCATGGGTATTTTCACTTTTCGTAAAAACTAATTAAGCTGTCCTCTTAGAATCTGTGTAGTGTTTTGTTTGTACTTGAACTTCAAGTATAAACACACACATACACACATATTCTTCAATATTTCAAATTCTAAAAACTACCAGCCTATCAAGAAAAGCACTGATTAGGAGTCAGATGATGTTTCTTTTCTTTTATATCATTTTCCTATGTCCATTTTTAAACATTTATTTGCCTAAAATGGCCACATTTAACATGTTACATTGCTGTATCTGTCCTTTTCTTAGTTACCTTGAGAATAAATGAAAATACATGTGAATACTTTTTTTCTGAGCTTTTTGGGAGGCAGTACATAAATTAATTGTAATAAGTTGGTGGTAGGAAAATATTCAAGCTAAGTGTTTATATTCCTACTCCATAATCATTAATTTGGTCCTTCACTCAACAAATATCTATCAAGGGCCCAGTATGTGGCAGGCACTGGTCTAAGCAATGGTGATATAGGCATGGAGAAAACAAAAACCTTCTTGGAGAGCCTGCATTCTAATAGATGAAGACAGAAAATAAATACAAATAAACAATATGATGGTGATACAAGTCATCTGTATTCAGTTGTAACCAAACCATTAAAAACCTCACTACTTCATAGCTCGTCTCTAGACAAAAGATATAGTTCTTCTTGTCATAGTATATTGCAGCATCACTGTGGACACACTACTTGCTATTTTGCTCTTTAGTAAACAAAAAAAGCAGAAGGCCTTTCAACCTCATTCAAGACCACTAAATGTCGTTTTTCTCCATTAAACGTGCTAAGCCCAAAATAATGCCTTAATCCCTGAAAGAAAGAAGTTGAAACTTACTTCGGAAGTCCACGAGATTTTAGGAGTCATTAAGTATATGGTCAGCTGACTGACAGAATATTTTGGTCCTGCTATTACACTGAGACTTTTGGATGTACACCAGTTGAAACACAGTTTTTCCAAGCATTAAAATTCTCACAAAGTTCCTGCAATGACACAAACAACATATAACAATGTTTTGGGAAACTGATCAAAAGCACTATTACCTCTTAGCTGCAAAAGGAAAGGCTTACAATAATCAGTAGGCATTACCTCACAGCAAGCCCGCTCTCCATTACCCGCCTCTCCATCCATTCTTCCCCCCATGCTTCCATTTTTCTTTTTTGCTTATTTATCTTACGGCTTCTTTTGTTCTTCTTCCTTGGCCTGTCTTTAACTACTGCTGCTTAGGATATCCACCCCAGGAAACAGCAGACCAAAGGTCAGAATGACACGGTTACATGTCATTTAAGGCCAAGTTCCCTGATAAAATTTAACCACTATAGAGTTAAATATGGAAATATTGCTCTGCTTAATGTTTTAGACAACTATTGCTAAAATAAGTTGCCCTCACAATACGATACATCGTTTAATGATTATGCTGCCTGAATGTCTCCTTCTCAACTAAACAGGAAAATAAACGTTAATTTTAAAAGCAGTTCTCTTTAAAATTCTAACATTTTGTTAAAGTAACCATGACCAAGAGTGCCACCTACTGGTACATAAAGGGCATTTTTATAAAATTCTGTTCAAAGTGCTTTCCAAAGCTTTATGCCAGTCCTTTAAGTAAAATATAAAAAACTGAAACCCTACTAATTTTTTGAAATATGTCCAGTGGTTTCATACTGGAAGTATTTAATCAACCACAGCAGATCAATATATATCAAGTTATTTCTAAAACCATATAAAGAAGAATATCCCATCATTGTCTATATCCTCACAAGACTTCCCTTATCAAAAATTCTTAATTAACTTTATTTCTGAAATGCAGATTATAATAAATGTTAAACTCACACCCATTAAATATGTAGTAAAACAAATTTCTGAAAGCAACAGATTAAACTTAAGATTTAAGATGAATTACACTGGTTTCAGTTCAACAGGTATACTCAGTTCATTCAACAATTACAGAGGTGCCAGGCACTATTTTGACCCTGAAGATACAGTAAGAACCAGATGCAAGGCCCCTGCCATCATGAAGCTTTTATTACAGTTCCAGAGACGGACAGTAGGAAACAAATAATTAACAAGATAACTACAGACTATGATGAGTACGATAAAGAAGTAAGAGTGATGGGGTAGGTGGGGGAAATATCAGGAAAGACAACTCTCCAGTGCTGACACCTTGGCTGAGATCTGGATGAGGAAAAGGCAGCTGAGCAAATGGTAAAAGCAGGCCACTCAGGCAGAAGAATTAGCAAGAACAAAGGTCCCAACACAGAAATAAGCCCAGCATGTTAGAGGAACCAAGGCCAGTGTGACTGGAGAACAGTAGGCTGGTAAGAGTGAAATGAGATGAAGTCCAGCAGTCTACAGGAACGGTAGGAATTTTATCCTAAGGGTAACAGGAAGCAACTGAAGAGTGAATCAATCAGGAGAAGGACAAGATCTAATTTATATTTTTAAAGGACTGCTCAAGTTGCTGTGGGAAAGATAATAGGAAGGGGCAGGAGTGGAAGGAGGAAGTCTAGTTAAAAGACTCTGGTCTAAGGTTATAATAAAGTAACAGCTACAGAGATGGCAGAAGTAGATGAATATGACATATTTTTTGGAATTAGAGCCCCAAAACTTGCTGATACATTAAACAGGGTGTGAGAAGACAATGACAAAAAGAGAAAAAGTCAAGCATGTCTCAACAAGCATAAATGCACGGAAATTAAGTAAGTTCAAAGAACAATCATGGCATCTGTCAATTTAGAATCTTCACTGAGGAAGCAAAAGGGCTCCTTGTGCTCTGTTAGGCAAAGAAACCTCAGTGGTAAACAGGTAATAGCCACAGAGTATTTGACTGGAAATCAACGGAACTGGGCTCAGGTGTGACTCCTTCTTGCTTTCTCATCTTCAGCAAGTCTCCTCTTGCCATTTTAACATTACTCACACCACCTCACTGGATTATTGAGAGGAATAAATAAAATACCAAAGTACCTAGGAAGCATGAGCGTTACTAAAAATCAGTCCTAATACATTCACCCCTTCTCCTCCTTGTCAACCCACCTACAGAGGTGGAGGTTTGGTATTGCCAGCGAACAACTCCCTCTGGCCTGATAAACAGCACTCATCAAATATAGTTTCCATCATACAATTCTGATCTACTTCTAAACCTGAACTTATGCAAAGAATCCTAGGCACCATTGTTTTCTGGATAAGCAGTGTTACTTAGCATTCATGATAAAATAAACTTAATACTAAAAAGCATGAGTGATCTCAAATTACTCTTGCAACTAGTAAATCTGCTTGTGTTGCACTCTCAGGGTCCAAAAGTGTGTCACTACAAAATGTTTCCATCCTTTTAGGAATAAATATAAAGTTTAGTAGTCATTGTAATGTGTTCTTTAAAAGTGCTAGGTGAAGTAAAATAAACTACACTGCATGCTTGGCTATGGTTTTACTTTCTTCAGCACAGTACAAGCTCAAATTGGGCGGAAGATTAAGAGCAGCCATCTCTGGCCAGACCATGGAGACAGCCAATGGATGGCAGGATGAAAACATGGAAAGCCATGGAGACCCCCTCCCCAAACCTAGTTCTCATGGGAATGAGCACTGCTCAGTGGAAGATCTCAGCACTCTGCAGAGCTACAGTGCGGCCTTTTAAATCGAGCTCTGCATGAAGTACCACCACATCACCAATGACATCATTATTAATTAAAAGGCTAGATTTTAGGGTCAGACAGGTTTGAGTTCTCATCTCACAGCTTATTGCCATTTACCAGCTTTGGCTTAGGCAAGTTCCTCAGGCCATAAGCCTCATGCTTTTCAGTGTTAAAGATGAGGGTAACGATACTTACACCTCATTGGGTTTTTTTTAGTGACATAATGTACATAAGGATTTGGTCATAGCGTATGACCAACACAGTGTCAACTATTATTAAGCAGCTCATTTGTTTTTTCCATTTTAGCTAACATGTATTCAAAGAAAACCTGGAAAATCACATAGAAAAACTACCCAACAACCCCTATAGCTTTTAGGACTACTAACTTCAGATTTTAAAATTCCTCAACAAATTGTTTTTGATAGATGCGAACTGCTTTCTAAGAGATCTACCAATTTATACTTCCCATACGCCAAATATGACCACGCCCATTTCTCTACATACGAAAATGGCTCATATTTAATTTTCAAGTACTTACACTCAGAAGTACTAAAGAAATAAAGATGGCTCCCAACCTCAAAATGATCATCAGGACTACAGAATAGACAGAGAATTTCCCTTTTTTTTCTGTCTCCAAGAGGCTATGTGGGAAGTATTTATGTCAACAGTGATGTAAGGAGCAGCCACCGAGCTGTGCAGGCTTGGGATTTCTCCTTTGCCCAGACAGACCAGAACAATCACAGTTAATCCTTGACAAGCTTAACAAGTTTCCTAACTGCTGGGTAAATCTACAATTACAGAAAAACAAGTGTTTGTGAGGTCTTTGAAATAATCCTCCATAAAGTCCTGTAATGTAACTTCTGGATTTTCTCCCAAAAACTCCTCTGCCTTTAAGTTTTCAAGCTTTAAAAGGGCTAAGTGTGCACAAAATTGGTAACTTCATGCCAACATGAGTGTGTAAATATAAGCACAGGGATACAGTTTGTATATGTGTTATGTAAATGTAAACTAAATATGGTATATAATTGCTGAACTAAGTAAAACTCGTAATTTCCATGCAAAAGTGGGACGTCACATCTACAAAGGATCTTATAATCATATCTACTCCAACTGTTTCTTAGAAGAGGAAATAAGGCCCAAAGAATGTAAATATCAGTTGCCAGGGCTAGTCAGCAACTCAAGATTCCCGATCCCAGATCTTCTCTCAAAAGTGCTTTTTTTTTTCCCCGCTACAATGCATTCCTTCTCTATATTAAAATACCACGTAATTAAGACCCAATGGAATCGGTTTTACCAAAACAAGCACTAGCACTGCTTTCAAGACAAAATGCCTTACATCCGTATTTCGTTTCAAGGCATACATACTAATAAACCTGCCCACTGATACCATTTCTTTCACAAAGAAAAAACTGGTACTCACATAAGTAATTTTTTCCTGGGCTTTGGAGACAGATAAGCTCTTATCCTAGGTGTATGATTTTGGTCAAGATGCCCAACTCTCCGTACTCAGTTTAAAGATTAGTAAAATGGAATAACATGTAAACTCCTAGAGTTGACATTTCCACTTAGTGCAATACCTGGCACATAGCTTCCCAATAATAAAAGGTTATTACTATTACTACAAATCATCGTAGTTAATAATGTTATGCACCTGACAAACATAAGACTAGAACTCAATCCTTGCCTTCCAGGGCTTGGTCCTTTCAGCAACGCAATTTAGGTTATTTTAAGATGTCTGGGGAGAGAAAGAAGCGAAATTTACCTGCAGCCAGGAACAAGCTGACCGTCGCCCTGGGCTCAAGGTCACTCGGGGAAGCGAAATTCTACGGGAACTGTTCGTCCGTCACGAGGAAGGGAGGTCGAGGAGGCTAAGTCGCTCTCGCCTCCCCACTCCGCCTTTCCCGAGAGCTACCGGAAGGACCGGGAGGAGGCTACCTGGCACCTGCTGCAGCCTTCAGCCCGCTGTTTAAGGCCTAAACTAGGCGATAAGAAAAAGGGAAACTTACCCCACCCCTGGGGCACCTAGCTCGCAGAGGCGGCCAAACTCAGCTCCAGGCGCCTGAGATACTCCGCGGTCCTGGACGTGACGAAACAGCGCGAGCCAGTCACACAGTCTATTGGTCGCTGCCGTCCAATAGAAGGAGAGGTGCGCGACCACGCGAGCAAGACGTGCCGTCTTCCCAGTGTCTCCGCCCCTAGCTCAGCCATCTCCATGGTGACCGCTACAAGTTACCCGTTTGGCCGCGCAGGCCGGAATTGCGTCATTGCCTATGCGCCGGAAGCGCTGGTTCTAGCCCGGCGCGATGTGGTGATGCTTAGCCCGGGGCGGCTCCGGCGAAGTTAGACCCTTGAATCCGGTCTCGGACTGCTGGAGCGTCATCCCTTGCCGATCCCTGCTGACCATGGCAGTGTTTCACGACGAGGTGGAAATCGAGGACTTCCAATATGACGAGGACTCGGAGACGTATTTCTATCCCTGCCCATGTGGAGATAACTTCTCTATCACCAAGGTAACTTTAGGGCCTCGCCCGGCGGTTCACCCAAGCAAGCGCAGTTTCGCCCCGCCTTGTTCCTTCGGTCATTGGGTCGTCTTTGAAGCTCTGGGTTACCCACGCCCTCTTTCCAGTTGCTGAATCTTCCTCTTCCCGCATACCCCCACCCCAGCTCTCCCGGTAGACAGGTAGTTCTGGCCTTAAATTAGGCCAGGGAGAGAGCGGCGGGAGGCTCTGTCTCCCTGCCCGATCCCCGCCTTAGAGTCCCAGCCTGGAATATCTCTGTAGAGGAGGGGACTCATTTTTTGTTTCCCAGGGCTTTGGGGCGACCGAAACTCGCCTAACATGCCTAGATGTTTCCCCTAAGCGACGCTTCTATAGGAGAATGAAGTTGGCATTTCTCACTGAAGGCCCTGGGGTTCTCACCCACCCTGGAGGGAAGGCAAGCCACTAAGAGACATGCACCTAGAGGTGGGACAGGTTTGCGGGAGGAGATGGCGAAGAGACTGTGCTGACCACATGGTGTTTGATTTCGTTGTAGGAAGATTTGGAGAATGGGGAAGACGTGGCAACGTGTCCTAGCTGCTCTCTCATTATAAAAGTGATTTATGACAAAGTAAGGGATACAATTTTAAAATGGGGGAAGGGGGTTGTAAGGCAGTGGCAAGGACTTAGATCAGCCTGTCAGTGATGAGTGCAAGAGAATGCTTGAGTGTGCTAGGTAAAGTGTGGTATATTTTTCAGGCAGGTTTTAAACACCATTGATAAACAAATAGTAAATTAAAATGATTAAAGTTCAGATTACATAATTTATTTTAGCTTTGGCGCTAAATCTAGCTTTAGTGAAAATTATTAATTATAGAAAAATTAAAAATAAACAAAACCCTTTACCAGTTATCTAAGTAAAAAAGAAAAAGAGAAGTAATTATGTAGATTATTTTAGTGGACAATCTTTATATTTTTCTTCTATTTAATATGTAATTAAAATTGTTTACAGCACCTAGACTTACTTTGAAGGGAACAATTATATGGTATTTCATGCCTGCTTATGCAAGGAATTCTGCATTATCTTGTTTAAGATATAATTCCTAGGTGCAGCTTTATAATTTCATTTTAGTCTTTAGTTGCCCTATTATCTTTCTTTCATCCAAGGATATTGACGATAGAAAAAAAAAATGTTATTACTTCCCACTCTTACTCAAAGTTTTGTTCAGTACGTTGAATGGAATCTTAGATAAGGAGCTTAACATTCTCAAGGATGAACTCTAAAATGAATATAGGGGAAAGTGGGGATGAGGCACAGAGCCTCATGAGAGAAGCAGGCTGTAATTTAGACTATAATTTAGAAACATAATAATTAATTCTTGTATTAAAATGTGCTCTGCAACAGAAAGCAAACAGGGTAAGGAAGATCAGGAGTGCTGGTCTGGGAGGAAGTTGCAGTTTGACAGGGGTGATCATGGCCGGCCTCACTGAGAAAGGCCTAAGTAAAGATTTCAAGGAAGTGAGGGAGTGAGCCATGTACATAATGAGGATACAGCGGGTAAGAGAGTCTAGCAAAGGATTCAGTGAAGGGGACCTAAGACAGGAACATGCCCAATTTTATCAAGGAACAAAAAGGAGGTCAATGTGATCAGAGCAGAGCAGGATGAGAGGAGTCCAAGATAAATTCGTGGATCACTTTAAGGATTTGGCTCTTGTCGTGAATGATATAGGGAACCACTGGAGGGTTTTCAAACATAGGAGTGCTATGATCCAACTTAAGTTTGTTTAAAAAATGATTCTGGCTGTTGTGTTCAGCGAATACTATAGAGAGCAAGGATGGAAACAGGAAAAGCAGTTAGGAGGCTATTACACTAATAAAAGAAGGAGATAGGTTGCTTGGACCTGGTTACAGCCATGGAAATAATAAGAAGTACTTAGATTCTGGATACACTTTGAATGAGCGATTGGATATAGGGTGTGAAGGAGTGACTCAAGGGTGATTTCATATGTGACCTTAATGACTGGGGGGATGGAGTTACTGTCCATTGAGGGAATGTAACTATAGGTATTTGGCATTGTACATACTAAGTTTGAGAAGTCTGTCATCCAAGTGGAGCTGTTGAGAAGGCAATTGGATATACATTCCTGGAGTTCATGGAGAAAAATTGGCTAGCAATGTCAATTTGGGAGTTATCAGTAATAGATAGCATTTAGAGCCATGAGATTGGGTGAAATCTCCAGGTCTGTAAATGTAAAGATAGATAAAATACAGGACTGAGCCTTAAGGCGCTCCAGTATTAAAAGGTCAGGGAGGGAAGTGAGGAATCACCAAAGCTGACAGTAAAGGAGCAACCACTGAGAAAGAGGAAAGTCGGCAGTGTCAAATCCTGAAAACCAGATGAGAAGGGGTGAGGAATTGGTGATCCTTCACATGACACTGATAGAAAGAAATCAACAATTAACCATTAGCTTTGGCTGGGTGTGGTGGCTCACGCCTATAATCCCAGGACTTTGGGAGCCTGAGGCAGGAGGATCATGTGAGCCCAGGAGTCTGGGTAACATATTGAGACCGCCACCTCAAAGAATAAAAAGAATTAACCATTAGCTTTAGCAACACTGCGTTCATTTGTGATGATGATGAGAGCAGTTTCTGTGGAGTAACAGGAACAGCACATGATTGAAGAAACCAGTGGGCAGAAAACTGGTTGGAGGGAATGAGAGAACGGAAGGCAGTGAGTATAGCCATTTCTTTTAAGGGGTTTGCAGCAGAGACATGGGACGGTAACCAGTGGTGATAGAGAATCAAGAGAGGGTTTAAGGTGATAGAAATTCAGCCTTCATAAGTGAATATAGACACAGAAAGTTAAATTTAACCAGGTTTGTGATTTTCCCAAGTGAAAAGGAAGGAGTGAGAGAAGAGTAGTTACACCTGACCAAGGAGTTGGAACTAGGGAAAGGGAACATGAAGGGAGTGAGGGGCAGTGAAAGGGTGGCAGGATGAATGTGATGGAGGTCCAGAGGTGTTGGAATATGGCATCCAGGGTGGATAAATGACAGCAACAGAGAAGAATAGCAATGCAGTAGTCTCAAGCCATAAGATTCTAAACTGATGGGTTTTAGGCAGAAAAGGAGAACAGTGGCAAACAGGAGGAACTAGCCCCGCTTCCAATCCCTCTGGTACTAGGACTCTGAGAACATGGAGCCTCCACTAGAGGGGCACGTAGAGGAAACCATCCTTAAGAATATGACTCATCAGGCCAGGTGCGGTGGCTCACACCTGTAATCCCAGCACGTTGGGAGGCTGAGGTGGGTAGATCATTAGGTCATGAGTTCAAGGCCAGCCTGGCCAACATAGTGAAACCCTATCTCTACTAAAAATACAAAAATTAGCCAGGCATGGTAGCACACACCTGTAGTCCCAGCTACTCAGGAGGCTGAGGCAGGAGAATCGCTTAAACCTGGGAGGCAGAGGTTGTGGTGAGGCAAGATCATGCCACTGCACTCCAGCCAGGGCAACAGAGGGAGACTCCATCTTGGACAAAAAAAAAGAATATAACTTAATCTCGACTTCAGCACTAGTGACATTTTAGGCCTGATAATTCTTTGCTGTGCAGGGTTATCCTGCGCATTGTAGGATGTCTAGCAGGATCCCTGGCCTCTACCTATTAGATGCCAATAGCAATCCTCAGTTGTTTCAGTTCAGACTGTTTCCAGATACTACCAATGCTCTTGGGGATAAAACGACATTTTGAGGAAGAGGTTGAGAACATGGAGCATTGTGCCGACAGTGGATCCTGAATTCCACAGAGTACAGTGAAAGAGCTCCAGATATTGAGCAACAGACCAGTAGGGACAGAGTTGGGACTGATCCTCCAGGAATCAGATTGCTGGCGGTGAGGGGTAACCTCAGAGGCAGAGATTTCTTGTGGTAGCTGAGATAAGTCAGGATAAATGATCAGAGATTGAACTTCATTTACAAAGTAGCTAACATTGCAGATTATCTGTGTTGAGAAACACATAAAGACCTGTCCCTTTTAGTTGGAAGAAGTAATTACTTTGAAGAGAACTGGTATCTGAATGACCAGTTATTAAAGTGGAGAAGTTTTGGTGTAATACAGAAATTAAAAGATGTGACATGTCTCTATGTGATTTCAGAGAAGTGGTTGCTCTGCACTGAAGATGGGCATGGTTATAAGGTGCTTTATATTAAATAATGAATTCAGAACCAAAAACAGATACATGTTTAAGATTCAGATTCTAGTGCTGTCATGGGCCCTTTGAACAAGGATGAAATGATAATAGCAATGGAAAAACAAAATTAACAGAGCTGGATTGATTCTGTAACAAAATGAAGGTTTAATATTAATGCATTTGTGACATGGAAATTCATTGGTTAATGTCATTTCTCTGTCTTAGGATCAGTTTGTGTGTGGAGAAACAGTCCCAGCCCCTTCAGCCAACAAAGAATTAGTTAAATGCTGAAGAAGCCTTCAGGAAACCAAATCCTGAACAACGGGAAATGAGCCTAGATAGAAATATTAAATGCAAAGCTACTGGCTTCATCGAGACCACCATTTGTGATTTACTGTTCTGTAAGTGTGTGGATTCTTTCCATCGACTGCTGATTTCATCTTCAGGAAGCAAGTCTATAACATGACATATCTGGATTTTGTGCTCAGTACCTTAAATTGGAAGCATTCTTAATTATCCATCTAAATTT